ACAAGCTCTCACATTAAACCAATGTGTCGTTTTCTACTTTCTTTGTTATATTGTAATAGTGTTTGCAGAATTTAAACATTTACCATCAGCCAAGCTAGCAGTATGGCTCTATGAATCACAATGTTGGTCTGTCTCTCAGTTTTGCTCCAGACTGAAATACCTCAAATGGATGGCCACATTTTGTAAAGACATAAATGGTCCTCAGAAGATATATCTTACTGACTTGGGTAATGAAGTTTATATGATGTGTCAGCTCGATGGTACACCATTAAAAACACTAAAAATGGTGCCAAAAAGGATGCCTTTAAAATGTATCATGTCAATACTCAGTACTGGAAACGGTTTGCCAAGCAACAGGCTAGCTAACCAATTTTAACTCATGTATATCTGTGACCATTGGTTTATATCAACTCTCATCAACCTGGATGTAAATATCTGATTCTTAAGTCTACTGCAGTAAGTCTTATGTATCTATGCAGCAAGCCAAATGTGTCCGACACTGATTTTAAACAGGGGTGTATGAAATAAACAGAGGTTGACTGAGCCGTGATGCAGCGCTGACTGTGTGTGTTGCCATAGACACCCTGTGCAAACAGTGGGATCTTGGACTGACTCAATGGGCTTTAAGGGTCACCGTGTAAAGTCAGACGAGTTCCCTGAACACCATGTAGGTGTCTGTTGCCTACTCGGAATATGTCATGACTTAATGCTGGGTAAGCCCACACTGTGAAGATCACATGTCAGGGTGTGACTGTACCTCACAAACTGAGTGTCAGCGTCTCAGTCAACATTTACAGAATAGGTAAGGCCAAAAACCAAATACCAAGGCCAGAGGGAGCTAACAGATATTATCTGAAATATAGTCCATAGATCAAAGCCTTTATGGCATATGAGTTGACGGCCAAGTATAGAATTACAGATCAGGACCCCTCTCCCATGGCCGAGAGGCTCTGTTTTCTTTAATTATCATAACAGACCACCAACAGAGTGCCCAAGAGAAGGAACCTCATCTCTTCTCCTCTGCTGATTTATAATCCACTCCGTGAACCAAGGCCACTGCCTGACACCCTTAATGGTATTTGGTGTATATACACGACTCATAAAAGGTGTATATAATTTTTACAGTTGAACCTTAAAACCCCGACCACGAACCTGGGTGAAGGCAAAACATCAGCATCCAGGATAGACAGGTGGTGTGTGTGTCTGTGAGTGTCTGTGAGTCACAGGCCTGTTCACTGAAAAATAGATAACCTGCTGCTAAATGAAGCTCCCTAATGAATACAGTAACACACGTGTCACCAGAGAGGTGTTTAGGGGGGAAAAGGGTCAGATATTTTTGTAGTATGGTTTTATTCTCTGACAGGGTGGTGGCGATGGATCACCGGCTCGTAGACAAGTAGGGGAGATATGAGCCGGCCAACAATTGTTGTGTTGTGCTACATGTGCTGTTTGTATCCATGGCAACTGCACCGTTGGTCTTGTCCCCTGATTGCCAGATAGAGTCTATGTCCTTGGCAATATTGGAACACTTAAAAGGATTTAGGAGTAGAGAGTCCCGTTTTGGCTTTACTGCTAAAACAGAAGAAGTGACTGAGTCTGTGAGGACTGTGGCATCTTAAAACTGTGAGAGTAGAAGGTTAGATACAGTAGTCTGCTCCAGATGAGGCAGTGACTGTGGTATTAGTGGAACACGTGGTTTGAGCCTTTTCAGCTTCATGACTGTCAAAAAAATCAAATCAGAATTTACCGTCACTTAAAGGGACTCTATCCCACCACAAGGTCAGGGTCAACACACATCAGCAGAGGGCAAGATTTTTTACTTACTTACTTAATGTGGGCTGAGCTCCAAAACACTGGATCCTACACTTCCCATAATGCAAATCAGTAGCATGTTATGTTCATCTCCTTCTGTCCTGTAAATGCCTTCATCTTTGAAAATCCATGCCCTCCGCTCTGGTGGAATGTAACATTAACTGAATGAGTGCTCCAAAACAATTTTTAGGTATTTCGTACTGAAAGCACCAGTGAATAAGGTCACTCTGAATCTCAATGCAGTAATTTATCTATTGTCATTTAAACAAACACATTGATCATCCAGCCATTCTCTCATAAACTGAATTCTTCTGTCTGACCAGCATCTTTTTCTGCTGCTCGTTTGTCCTGCAGGTTTGTATTTCATAGTTGCTCAGATGTTGCTGTGTCTGGGAAAAATCACTACAACAAGCAAGTAGATATCCTGATGCTAAAAATATGTGTGACTGACTCTATTTCTGAGGCCTGACTGTGATATTATATTACATGGCACATCGATTGTGGCCGAGGATGATGTGCCCGCTCAGGTATTCTCAGTCTCCATAAAACTCCCTGATGCTATTTTGGAAGGATTATTTGAAAATATGTGTTGAATATACTTCACTCACACCCACTTTCATTCTTTATTCATTAACCTGAAACAGTTTTTTTTCCACAGCCATCAGCAATAAGATGGAAATGAAACCAGACGGGGTAATGCAACCTCTTGATTCAAACAATACTTACATAGTGGCATGAAGGACGCACAAAGGCAAGGTCGAGTGTTACTGATAACAAATATTATGCTGTCTCTTTGGATGTAAGATATGTGTTACTGCTGTAGTCAGCCATTTTATATGAAACATCATTTTCACTTGAAGCCATTTCCGTGCATCCAAGATGCCTGTGGTGTATTTTTACTTTTTTAAATTAAATCCTTGTGTCTGGTAAAAGGCAGACCAGAGTTCTCGCTGCATGTGTTACAACAGAGTAGATGCTGCCCCCTACAGGAATACCTATACAAGTTGAATTCATTGTGCAGAACACAATGTGGTGTCAATAAACTCAACTGTTTTCCAATTAAATGTGTTCAAACTGTAATTGAATCAATGGTGTGTTATGTTTTCTGTATAAGTCTGTATTCTGTGGTTTCCTTGTGTTACATCCAGCCCCAATTTTTTTTTAAAACTCAGACTAGTCCAAATTGATACTAATAGAATTTAGTATCATCACAATCCAGCCTTTGACAGACCTTGCTAAACATTTCAATCCATTTCCGTTACAATATCTTCTTACAATTATCATTAAAATACCAGGATACAGATACACAATCTCAGATTTTAGTCTGGAAATTAACTTCCATCTTACCATCTGCTGGACAAATATTGTAGCCACACATTGAAGCCACAGACTTGAATCAATTAAGATTTTTAAAAAGGTGTTCAAATGATACTTAACATACTTCCCACTGTCAAAACTCAAAACTGTAGCAGGATAGCAAAAATCTTTCTTACAATTTCCTTAATGAATCCAAATCCAAATGTGAATGGGTAACTGTTTTTCAGAATGAATGCAATGACATTGGCATATTTATTCACACAAAGTTGTTAATTTATGTTTGTGTATCTCTGGATGGAGAGGGGGAGGTTTCTACCTGCATGTACAGTATCTTATTTAAGAGGGCCAGGGTTACATGATAATCAACATATCTACTTTATGTCAACAGATAAGACACTTTAATGATTCAAGACATTCTTTCTCCATTTGTCCCATTCAGAAAACCAAGACAGAAACACAGGTAGAGGAGCAAACAGGTGTTATGGCCTCCCTCCACATTACAGCCACACCCATTTCTTACAATATTAGTCTTTGGATATTATCAACTATAAAACACTCTAGCATGCTAAATATAACTGGCTAAATTAAAGCAGTTAGTAAATAATTGACTGATCACAGTCCATGTTCCATCTCTTCGTCCCTCTGGGCTACAACCTGGCTACTAATTACCTTGAGCCCAGTATTGCTACGTCTGATCAGTGAGAGTGAGTTTAAACATTTGCTTGAATGACAAATTGACAAACCTATTGTAGATACCAGGTGCAAGGTTCAGTTACAGCGGCTTAAACAAAGAAGGTGAACAATGCTTGTTCTCCTCTGTCAACAACCTGCCATGTGCTGTAAACATACAAGAGCAGAAATCTGCTGTTTGGTTGAGAGAAGCAAAGGCTAGAATATCCCAAATGATCAAATACAGAAAGACTTGTTTCTATATGTAAATATCACCTCTGGGATTCTTGCTTTAAATAGGAAAACAAAGTTATTTTATTTATTTCATTCAGCAAACATATGATTTTGAATCATAAAATATATACTTAAACCACCCAAAAGTTACAATTTCACATAAACAACCTCAATAATTACAACTGAGGTGCCATTCTTCGTGTGTGCGTTTATTGTATGGGAACAAAATAAGTTTATCACTGCCATACCTCTGCATAATCTAGGTCTAGCTGCCATAACTCTCCCAAGTGAGACACCAGGCATTTACATACTGGACTACACATGCGTTTCTCTTACAAGTGCAGCTTCATAGGTGAGCTGTTGGTAACGGTGTGTATCACGTCCTGTATAGTAGAAACACAGCTCGGGGAAATGCAACACTTCAAGTAGGACGCAGTTTAAAGCCAAAGATTTAGTTTGAAATATTGAATTCACACGGCATCTTGTTGGAGCTGTAGGAGATATAAATAATAAATCCCAAATGAGAAATAGCTGTGAACACGGTATGATACTAGTCTGCAATATAATATAATAGTCACATATGATAGCAACTTATACGAGCTTGCTTTTGTAACACATCCAACATTTAAATCTTTATTAACATATAGCTTGTTATAATAATATGAAAATATCTCAAAATAGAACATAGTAGTCAAAGAACAAACAGTTAATATTATTATATTGCTTAATGACATCCCCTTTATTTTTCCCTTATAACATTCAAAAACTGACTCCTCACTCTGCCATTGAAGCTTCTGACCAGAAGAGGGACACATGCACATCAATGTGCTGGCAGTGATGAGAATTACTCTTCTGTACAAAGTCAAATCAGAAATCCTCGGGACAAGCTACCCATGAGGTAACAAAGTACAATCAAATCAATGCATTTACTGTTGTCAGAAAGAGCCTTTGTTGTCTACGGCTTCAGATCTCTGGGGGGGGGGGGGGGGGGGGTCACATTAATTGGAGGAACGCACTTTCCTGCCTTTGAGAAGCTGGGGAGGCCTGAAGTTGTTTTCCATGCGGGTCCTCTGATCCTCTTCCTCTCCGGTGCACAAAAGCGTTCTTAACTTGCCCAGCTACATTGGAGAGACAGAAAGAGAATTGTCTCCTTATATTTTTGCAACGAAATTAAATTTCTGTTAAATAGGCTCGGTGTACAACATTAGCTCCATATCAGACACTGGTGAGACTGTGTACATTATTGTCAACAACTCCCATTAAAAGACCAAAACCAACAATACATTAATATGTCTCAAACCCACTACATTGAATATTATCAGATATATTCTTTATGCTCCTTTCAACATTTTAAACCAGCCACACATAACCCTCTTTTTGCCATTTCCTTTCCAGCTCTACGTCTACCATTATAAGGTGAAATTAAAAACAAAATACCCTGTTATGTAAGGGCTTTTCCCTGCTGCGTCTCCATGCAAGCATTTCTCAATTAAAGCCCTGCACACATCCAGCCATCCATCCATCAGGATAATCAGCTGGAAGGGATCAAAGGCTTGAGACCGGAGTCATAGGTTGTGAGGCCAGTTGCCTAGCTTAAGCCTCACCCCCAGCTATGCTACACACATGGGTTTACAGACAGATACGCTCATGGCTACACCCGAGGTGCCACAGTCATTAAAACTCACGATTCCTCGTGTACAGTCCTCGAGTTAAAAATGTGTGCGAGTATAATCCAGAGGCTGGCAGCAGTCGCACAGGGCCAGCTCCCAGAGGGACCTGGAAGGCATGTGCTGCAGACATCAGGTTAGTCAGCTTAACTTGTAATCAACCTGGAGTTACTGGACCTAAACTTTCTGATTAAATTCAGTGCAAAGACGGGTGGATAAAAACAAGTCAACCCTACACACGGCAACCCCCATGAATGATGCTCGCTCTTGTTCTGGTCTCTAAATATAGCATCATGCTTGGCAAATATCTGGACATCCTACAGCATAGAGGTAAACCCCACCCCCACAACTACTCAAACCTAGCATACCGATGCTCAACTTTAGATCGACAACAAAAGAGGCAGTGAATCCTTGCAGCCTAGCGGAGCATAGCCAAACATTAGGCAGGCCGGGAAACATGGGTGTCACAACCGACTGATCAACTGAGCTCCACTGATTTACAGCTAAAGCATACCAGTACATGTCTCCAGGTATAAACTGTTATTTAAAGCAGAATATGCCTTTTATATTTAAAAACTACACATTTTGAGAGAAGATTAGAGAAATATGGGTGCAGATCATTAGCTAAAAGAAATATATGAAAGTAATCAGTAATACTCAAAAGTGTTTTGTATAAAATCATATCACATTCTTGATTCAGATTTGAATATCTGAGAGAGATAGATGGATATGTTTTAAACTTTTATAGAACTGTAGATCCCCTTTTAAGCAGTGGTGGGAGATCTAGTTGTAAGGAAATAGATCTTGTGCCAGAACTACTGGATTGGGGTTAATGCCGTGTATGAATGGCTGTGCCACATGACCTGGAATAATAAATAACTACTAGTGTTTTACGTGCTGAAAATCTGGCATCTATTAAAGGAACATGTTTGCAACACACACACCTGTTTTTCCGACACTGTGATTGGCTCCTTCACGATGATCCAAATGACGCTCTCATGCAGAGGGGGTGTGGTCAGTGATCCCAGGTAGGTCCAGTAGTGGAGGCTGCTGGGCAGGAGGCACTTTGGGTTGAAACCTTTGAAATCTGCAACACTGCCCTTTAACAGAAATAAAAAGACAACAGCTCTTATAAGGCAGCAAATGATGCCGAGAGCAGGTCATAAACTACAAGAATATTACAATTAATAAAATCCAGTATAGTGCTCACCTTAAACTTCACTGTGAACAGAGCGTCCGTTATCATGTGGAGCCATCTATGGTTGTCACCTGTCTTATTTAACAGACAAGATTGCTTTTGAAGTTGATTTGTGACTTGCGGAAGGAATCAATATAAAATCTTTACACATATAATCTACAAAATATCACAAATCTTCATTTTTGTTGAAGCTGACATGCATCTAAAACATACAGTAGGTTGCAGCACCAAAACACTGGTAACTGTGATCATAAGAGCACTACAGCTAAACACAACGCAGCGATGTGACTAATTATTTTTCTCTTGCAACTTCTCCAACCTTATAAAACACCTCCCACATCTGAGAGTTTTGTCAGCAATTCAAAATGTGGAGTGAAAGAAAATACTAATTGAGTCTGATTACTATGCTACCACGCTGTTCACACAAATAATGACAGCGGTGAAAAAAAATCAAAAAACTGAGTTGCTAGACAACAACTCTGTTCAAGTTGCCATGACCTAAAAAAACAAATGTGAAATTGTTACACGAATACAAAATGTAGAGGAAAGGGGGCACAGGGATGGAAAATGAGACTGCAGTTAAGAGAAACATCTTACTTCCAAAAAGATGCCGAGGACAGCGAGGCCGTCAGGAGCTGTTGCCGCCTCCCCAAACGTCTTGTACTTGACAGCATTCCAGTGTACCAAATGAAGCTAGAGCGGCAAATAAGAGAGAAAGAGAGACATAAATAAAATTGGCTTTTATAGTTAAATACATTAAATCAAGTCATATATACAGATGCAAAAAGATGGTAATCTTAAGCATCAAAGCTGGTGATTTTATTTCATACCAAAATATGTTACCACATATACCTTACTACACTTTAGTCAAACATGGGTTATTCTCTGATTTGGTGATTAAAATGCTGACCCAGACACTGACCTCAGAAGCATAGCCATTTCCTGCGACAGTGTGTTCAGAGCCATGACAGCCCTTTCCGCCCCAGTGGAAGTGAAACTGTTTCAGCCTGTAGGGGTTGTCAAGAGGGCCTCCCCGGATCACTGTAGAAGATGAGATGTAGAGAGAAATAAAATGAAAAAAGGTTCAGCATCCATCCCTCCCCCCCCCTGCCCCATTGTCTGTGGGTGTTGGACAAAATGCTTCGCAGCAAAAAGCTACACAGAGCATCCTGTGTGAGCTTGTTACCACTGCAGGATGAGTCAACCTGGCAACCCAGCATACTTTTGTCTAATTCCCAATCTGAGACATTAGCAGCGACAGAAAGACCGCCTGCTTTACCAACAAATCTATCATAAGAGCTCTGTGGCACAAGCTTTAGTTGGAGACACAAATAGACACTCCTATGCTAAATAAAGCAACGTTAAAGCTACTTTTAGCTTGGATATAGATTTAAATTCAGGATTATTGGCCAACAAGAATGAACAGTTAACTTTCATATATGTCATGATGACGTTCAGCCTATTATCAGAATAGTACAGACCGTTTTCAGAGCCTATGGCTAGCACTGCTGGGTATGAACGCCAGTCTAATCTGACTGTTATTCATTGTGATGCTGCTGACATCTTTCTGACAAACAGGCCACACCAGTCCAGGTCAGATTAGCTAGGCATGAATGGAACGAGGAGCAAAACACTCATCTGGTCCATATTAAAATATAGATGTGGATGACCACAAGAACAGTGTGATCCGTTAGAAGAAAATCTGTTAAGAAAAATTAATAATGCATCTTGAATATGAGGCAATTAGTAGATAGCCATTTATAAATTACTGATGTGTTGAATAGGGTATTAAAAGGTGATAATAATGTTGTAAAAGCCAACATTAATAATAGCTAAAAGAAATGCATTAATTATAATCAACCCCGTCATGTTTGTTATTCTAACATTGAGAGCCAGATCTTTAAACTCGTAATATAATATATTGTTAAAAGTTTTGATTACGATATTTGTCCGTAGGTCTTCACAGAGACGTATCCATTTTATTTCATCCTCCTTTTCTTACCCAAAGAACAGTGACACAGAACACCATCACGTGTGAATATATGCATGTGTACACCCAGACCAAGCCACGTGGGGCAAACTGACAACAGCAGGTTTAGGGGGATTTGTGCACCTCATTTAAACAGCGCAGAAGTGCTGAGGAAGTGCATTCGTTTTCCTACAGGTCTCCACCTTCATTAATTACATTCGGTGATAGTTACTTGCTTGCTCTGCGGAAACTGTCTGAGCCAAACAGCCCAAGATTTCTGAGCTTATCATTCATGTTAATGACGGGGTGGTTAACATGGATCCACCCAGTGATAAAAGCAAATAGGGTCATAATAACCATTGAGATCATCCGAGGTTATTATCTCTTGTCCAGCAGACAGATGCTCATACAGTTAACTGCTGGCTGCATTTCCCTGCAGCATAATCAGGGGATTATTTATAACCTTTGATTATGGTCAGTTATGCACATGGTTTGCACTTTTTTTTTTTTTTTTTTTTTTTTTTTTTTTTAATATGTTTTTTTTTTTTTTTTTTTTTTTTTTTTTTTTTTTTTTTAAATCAAGGTAATCCCACCTTTCAAACTTACATTTATTGAAAGCAACTTTTTGCGCAGATTTCCACTGCATGCGGCTGACAACAGATACCGGCTTATCCCTTAACCGTTATCTCTGTCAATAAATGTCTAATACAGTCATAAAAATGTATAATCTCTGCCAAGATGTTACTAACCATTCACAATTCTGATTTTATTGTCGTTTTATGTATTCACCACATCTAGACCTAAGAGTGACCTCTGTAGACTGTGCAGATCTAAAAGCAGTTCAAATGCATTTGAACTGATTAGTTGGTTGTTTGTAGGTGGGATTTCTGCTTTCTTCTTCTTCAAAAAAGAGTAAACTGTAAATTTTAAGTAAATGCATATGAACACCAGCTTTTTCTCACCTGAGCGGTCATCCGAGTCCTCAAACTCCACAACAACGGCGTGTCCATTGTTGGTGATTTTGATGGAGGTACACTGATCGTAGTTCAGGACAATCGGACCCAGACTGGGGTCATGTGAAGCCTGATGAGGGACAACATCAATGGGAGACTGCCGGTCCCCCTGGGCAACGGGGTAGTTTTTGTGCCACACTGAAGGACCTTATCATAAAAGAAGACCATAAGAACTCAACAGATAATTTAAACAGCACTGCATGTGTGCCTTCAGCTTCAGCTCTCTTGGTGAAGATCAATTCTGAAAAAAAATCAATACCCCATGAATAAAATATAAATCAGTGATCAATTGACTAGAGACTGCCTCTTCCACACCAAACAGCGTGCCACAGTAAGTGGAGCAACTTGTCTTGAATTGACCATGACACTGATGCAATGTCTCGCACTCAAGAGTCCCGTGCAAATCGGTTGGAAAGTCAGTTTAAAGTGACAGCAGGCATCCCTTTAAGCATGTGGCTAATCTCGCATTAACAGCGTTGCTCCTCTGCGCGCACCCCAGCAAACAATAAACAGTAATCATGCATGTTATTGTCGGATATACGGTTAATTGCCTCCACTGTGGATCATGGGGAAAGCAGTAAAGAAACCTGCATGCTGTGAGATCTTACCGTCCTCTTTTCCATATCCCCAGTGATTCCCTGTCATCGTCCCTGTAAGCGGATTCAACTCTGACCAAGTTGTCGGTGTCTGACTTCTGCACTCCGGTGCGCAGGTGAAATACGGACACGGATATCAGACCATGCAGCTATTGATGAAGTTTATGTAGAGGCCGAAGGGGAATGGCAATTATCCCTTTTGTAACACGCCCCTTCACGCCCACACACACACGCGCGCACACATACACACACACAGTCCACACCTGTCTGAGGTTTTACAGCTTAGCTGCATTAGGTCAGGTTTACAATATATAATGTTTTTTCGATACTAAAATTATAATAAAATCATCATCTACTAATTAGACAAAATCATCAATATGGGTTATAAATACACAATTTAGAGGGAAAAATTACCATCAAAAGGTACAAATACATGTGTAATGGTCATAAACGAACATTATCTGCTTTAATACTACTTAAATTATTTTTTTTCGTCGTTGTTTTTTGCAGCTGTTTTAAATCTTCGTACCCTTTAAATCTTTTCAAACATTTTTTTTCTGAAGATACGCTGGACAATGAACCAATGTATTTATATTTTATTGTCATATACAGCACTGACATACTCTGTCTGTGTATCAAATGCACTGTTATTAAATCACTGCTCGAGCTGATACGATTACAACTGTAGGCGATTAATTGATCAGTCAATTAAGAAATATATTTTTATTAGGCTTATGATTTAGAGCAAAACATGGTTAGAAAAGTCTCTGGTTTTAACTTTTAAAGTGTGAGGATTTGCAGCTTTTCTCACATTGAATAAGCCTATCTTTAGGTGTGTCCTGAAGATAGAATTAGCAATTTGATGACCGTGGGCTTCAGAAAATGTTTCACTATTTAAATAAAAAACTTCCAGATGAATTGATTATGGAAATAATCGTTAGAGGCAGTACAAAATCAGATACTTGGAGATACATTAATTCCCGGTAAGGGGGCTTCTGTTACTTCATTATTATTAACACAATATTTACATTATTATTTTACTTTAATGCCAGTTAAAGTCTCCAAATATGGGTGAAAATGTGTGTCGAAAGTGCGCAGCCGGCTTTTAACACGGGTATGTTTGTGTCGAATCTGTCTTTGCGGAAGTTAAAATGCGTCCGTAGACTTCACTCATTGAACAGATACCATGGCAGCCACCAAAGCCACCAAAGAACAGAAATACGACAGGCAACTCAGGTAAATATAAACTTTAGCGTATGTTTCGTATTCCTTCAGCTAATTGTCCTGCGGGTTTCATTTGAGAGGTGCCAGAAGAGGCATGAGTGCTAACGTTAGCCAACATTAGCTTGCTATTTGCGTTATGGTGAATACAGCACCGGTGAGCTAACACGTTAGCTGTCAGGCTAATAGGATGTGCTGCTCTGTGTTTGGTGTTCAAAATCAGACATGGCAGCTTGTCTAATGGCAGCCGCCACTGACATCATGTAACCCTATATTCACTGTGTTTGATGGTTGTACAAGTGTAGCACTACATGGTAGTCTAATGCTAGAGAAGCTCTATACGAGCTAGCTTAAGTCCTTCTCGCTAGGTGGCTTGCTGTGTTTTTACAGCGGTTCGGGACGGATTGTATCACTAGGTGGCAACACGTGTCCATGTTGTGTTTCAGACTGTGGGGTGACCATGGTCAAGAATCACTGGAGAATGCACACGTCTGTCTCATCAACGCCACAGCGACTGGAACAGAAATACTGAAGAATCTAGTACTTCCAGGTAAAACAGATGTGGCTCCTTGTCGGTGATGATGCTGCAGGTGCTGACGAAAGCATCTTTCTGATTCAATTCATTGATCTCTTTGCCAGGCATTGGAGCGTTCACCATAGTGGATGGACACACCGTTTCTGGGGAAGATGTTGGAAACAAGTGAGAACCTATTTGTTTTTCAAGTTGATCCAAGCTTGAATGTAGTTGCTATTTTGTGTGTTCATGGTTGACCCTCTTGATCTTGTCTTGCAGTTTTTTCCTTCGCAACAACACCATTGGAAAGGTATGTTTTGCTGAAGTTAATTAATTTATGTTTTAGGAACATATGCAAGTGCACACGCAGATGCACAATTTCCTCTCCTATTTCCCATCTGAATCCCTCCTCCTTGGTTATTCATAAAGCCGTTTTTGACCTTTTAGTTTTGTTGTTGCAGAACAGAGCGCAGGCTGCCACTGAGCTGCTACAAGAACTTAACAGTGATGTCTCCGGAAACTTTGTGGAGGAGGTTGGTATCGTTTAAGTGTTGACATTATGCCACATATTTCTTTCACAGCGGTTATGTTTCAGTATATGAATTGAGCCGATCCCAGCTGGCGTTGGGCGGAGGCAGGGTACACCCTGGTCGCCAGACTATCGCAGGGCCGACACAGAGAGACAGACAACCATTCGCGCTCACATTCACACCTATGGGCAATTTAGAGCAATCAATTAACCTAAGCTGCATGTCTTTGGACTGTAGGGCCACACCAATGTGCAGCCTCTGAATAGTTCATGTGCTGTGTAAACATGTAAATGAATTGGATCAGTGTCACTGCTCTGATAGTGACGGAGATCCCTCTGTATTTTCTGTTACTTCTGCAGAGTCCAAACAAGCTTCTGGACAACAATCCAGAGTTTTTCCACAGGTTTACCGTCGTCATTGGGGTCCAGTTGCCAGAAAGGTATGAGATATAGTTCATCTTCACTCTCACGTTTTACTGTCAGAACCTACAGTATGCTGAATTCAAATTTTTAGTGTAATTACAAAGAACGTCCGTCATGGATGGAGCCTTGAGCACTTTGGCTGGGTTTGATGTTAAAGGAACAGTGTGTAGGATTTAGGGTGATTTAATATCGATGTCTTTGTTTTCATTAGTGTATAATCACCTGAAACTAAGAATCGTTGTTTATATCTACATAGGGGGCGGGGTCCTCTTTAGGAGTCCAACATTTGTTGCACCGCCACATTTTCTACTGTTAAATTGGCTTGATTTGTTATTGCTTTATTTTACGTCGAATTAACTTGTCATTTTTTTTCTCTGACATCTGCACAGCACATGTTTGAGGCTCGGCTCCGTTCTGTGGAGTGCCTCTGTACCTTTCCTGGTCTGTAAAAGCTACGGCCTGATCGGCTACATGAGACTGGTGGTGCAGGAGCACACAGGTTAGTTCAACAGCAGTTCACTTGGAATCACTTCTCGTATTATGAAACTATAACACATTTAATAACGACCCAAATATATAATTAATTAATGCTTTCAGTTCGCAGTTGAGCATGAACTCGTGAAAATGCGAATGCATTACTGTGATGAACAACATGTCATAAATTACACTCTATAGTCCTGAGTGTTTACATGGATTATTGACATCTTATCTGCCTGCATACACACTTTTTGCTGCATGGTCATTTCACTGTGGCTCATAGTTTACATGTACAATTAGAAGATTTAAAAATGTTTATTGACATTTTATTTAGTTTTATTGTATTATGTTTAACAGAACAGACAATCACACAGAACAGTCACAGAATCCCTTAAACGATGAGCAATAAAACCAATGACACGTAAAAACAACCGAAATGAACTTCACAACAATCTTTGTGTCCTAAAAGCAAAACTAATAAGCACTAGAATAGAAGCGATAAAAGCCTTCCCAACAACAACAAAAACAAGGAAAAACACAACATCAAGGACCTGCTTGTCATATTTTATTTGGTCACCTTACTCCATAGGTGAGCTCGGATCTGCCCTTTAAAATCTCCTCTAGGTTTTGACTGCTTGATTCTTAATGGAAGGCTACTCCACAGTATTAAAAAGCGAGCTCCGGGCTACGCTGTTTACTTGCTGCAACTTGCACGAGTGCACACTAGCCCTGGTGTTGTGACCATGCTTTTCTCTTCAGTGATTGAATCCCATCCGGACAATGCCTTAGAGGACCTGAGGTTGCTCCAGCCTTTTGCCGAATTCAAGAGCCACATTCAGTCCTACGAGCTTGACAGCATGGACAAGAAGGTGAGTACTCTAGGTTCAGCTCATTTGTTTATAGACATTAGTCAGTTTAAACTACACTTCACACAACTGATAGTGCTTTTATTTAATCTGCAGGATCACAGTCACACACCGTGGATCATCATCGTTGCCAAGCACCTGGAGAAATGGCTCAGTGAGGTACAGCACATTTTCTTTGGCCACGATGTCTGACAAATACTCAATCACTGATATGTATGCCTGTCTGCATTTGTAACGGTTGCTGCACATTAACATGTCGCTCTACTTTGTCATTGTAGCACAACCGTCAGCCACCGAAGAATTACAAGGAGAAAGAGGCCTTCAGACACTTTATTCGGGAAGGTATCTGTGAACATCTGGATTGTATTTGCCTATAAGTTCAGTGACTTGGCTGTGTGACGTGAATGTATGTGTGATGTGTGTTCCTTCAGGGATCCTGAAGAATGAGAACGGTGTCCCAGAGGATGAAGAAAACTTTGAAGAAGCCATCAAGAATGTCAATACTGCTTTGAATCCAACCAAGGTACCGGATCTCTTGGTTGTGTCCCATTCAACACATCTCACCTTTTACACCCCCAATCAGTCCGTTTTGTATAGTGTAACAGTTGACAGTCTCTAGTGAGACTCCTCTAGCAACGTCTCTTGTTTTCCGCAGATTCCCAGTGCTGTTGAAGACCTCTTCAATAGTGAGGAGTGTAACAACATCACATCACAGGTTTTGACTTCTATTAATAATACACACATCGTTATATCATAGTTTCAGATAAGTCGTTTTTTGAGACAAATGTTTTTTTTGATGTGTGGAGTTAATTGTGTTGACCAGACTCCGTCCTTCTGGGTGATGCTGCGAGCTGTCAAGGAGTTTTCTCTCAATGAAGGCAATGGAAGCCTTCCTGTACGGGGAACCATCCCAGATATGATCGCAGACTCTCGGAAGTTCGTCAGCCTTCAGAATGTGTAAGTGTGAAACGTATGGGTGCTAACTGTGGAGATAGATTTGTAGAGCAACAGAACAGTACTCCTACAAATCCTCTTATGTGGTTCTATGTCTACCTTTCTAACGGGTCATGGTTTGATAATGTAGGTTTGTGTTGTTGTTCATTTTTTGTGTTTTATTTCAGTTACAGGGAAAAGGCCATGCAGGATGCAGCAGCTGTTTCTAAGCATGTAGAATGTCTGTTGCAGTCTATTGGAAAGGTAGGTTGTAAACATTGTTCAGTAGTCACTGAATAAAGTTAGTTTAAGTTAGTCTGAAACCATCTTTAAGAATTTAGGGCTTAATTCAATCAATGAATGCTTACTCAAAATAATAACAGTGTGACCATACATAACTGTTGTCGCTACTATACGATTAAAAGCTAAGAATCAGCTGCTTCTTTCTATCCATCAAACAAATGGTGGTCAAGAGAAAATGTGTGATGCACCCCACAAAAAAAGCCCCAACAACAACATTGGCTGTTATTTCAGTTCTTTGTTTCTTCGTTTCTGCTTTTTGAATCAGTCGTGCAGCCGCCGTAATATTTAATTATGATAGCATTGATACATTTTGCCCTGAAATACTCATTTTATGGGTGAGTCTTGTGCTACTTACACAATGTATTTGACTAAAATGGATGTTCTCCTGAGTTTCCTTTTACTTTCCACCAGCCACCAGAGAGCATCTCTGAGAAGGACATCAAACTGTTCTGTAAGTATTATGACGTATGCATTTCATATTCAGTTGGTATATTTACATGCACACAAATCTGATCTCAGTCTGATTAATGCAATATGCTCTTTATACAATAGAGTGTTTTTAGAGGCATATATTTGATATTGAGATGCAGAGTACATAAGTACGTTGGATGCAGCCTTTAATTACACTGCCTGATCTCATTATTCATGGTAATTAGTGTATTCATACAAACATGCATGTACACAGATTGGTATGATGCGTGAATCAAAACTGCCTCATGCGTGCATTAGTGTTACCACGTCTCTCATGCGTTGCCATCATGCAGTCGCGTTGCCTTCTCTGACTTCAAAAGTTTGAATTGCTCTGAACATGGAGAGATTGAGATTTGTAATGTTGTCACTGTATGCCTCTGGACTCAAGATAACTCTCTCTGCATACAAGTGGAGCGTAATTGCTAACTGTAGGCGTCGGTGTCTAGGTAAGAATTCGTCCTTTCTGAGGGTGGTGCGCTGCAGATCTCTGTCTGAGGAATACAGTGTGGATTCAGTAAATAAAGATGAAATCAGTAAGTTGGAGATTCACTTACTTTCTGATTAAACTGTTCTGTCTTGTTTATTTACTATTTTCTCAAAAAATGATTCGCCTATTAACGATAGCTGCGTGTCCTCAGCCTCAAGCATGGACAATCCAGACAGCGAGATGGTCTTCTACCTCATGCTTCGCTCTGTCGATCGCTTCTATCAGCAGCACTCCCGCTACCCAGGTAAAGACGAGGTTCACACACATCTTTCTTTAAACACTTGAACAAGTTGTGAAACACTTACTGACTTGAAACCCCACAACTTAGAAAACATCAGTCTAAATGTACTTATGTACAGCACCTTGAAAATGTACTTGCTCCCTTGGTGATTATATATTCCCCAGAAAATGGTAAGAGGTGCATGCCTATGTATTCACCCCCTTCTCTATGATGCCCCTAAATACAATTTTAAAGTCACATAATTAGTTAAAATTAAGTCCACCTGTGTGCAATCTAAGTGTCACATGATTTCCGTATACATACTGCTGTTCTGAAAGGCCCCAGAGTCTGAAACACCTCTAAGCGAGCGGCACCATGAAAACCAAGGAGCTCTCCAAACAGGTCAGGGACAAAGTTCTGGAGAAGTACAGATCAGGGTTTGGTTATAAAAAAAAAATATCCAAAACTTTGACCATCTCACGGAGCACCATTGAATTTACAAGTTACTGTAGATGATTCTTCCTAATGCCACTATACAGAAACACAGTTATGTCATTCGTCTCATTTATTTTTCGCCCATCTTTTACCACATGTCCTCTCTTACCAGGAGTTTATAACTACCAGGTGGAGGACGACATCAGCAAACTGAAGCTCTGTGTGAACAGCCTACTGCAGGAGTACAGCCTCAATGTCAACATCAAAGACGATTACATCCATGAGTTGTAAGTCACGGCCACTGTTGGATTTACTGCTGAGAGTGATTACGACTGTGCAAAATAATTCTGAACTTCTTTTTTTATTACCCTTCTGCAGCTGTCGATATGGTGCAGCAGAGCCACACACAGTTGCTGCATTTTTGGGAGGTAATCTATTACCTCTCTTCAGAAATGAAAGAACCTAAGACACAACATGTCTCACCTAAACAGTGCTGATAAATCCAAGATGTTTATATGTTCTTTTTTTTAATGTGTTCCTGTAGGATCTGCTGCTCAAGAGGCCATCAAGATCATCAGCCACCAGTTTGTGCCCTTCAACAACACTTACATTTACAACGCAATGTCACAGATCTCTGCTACCTTACAGTTGTGAATACAGTCGGTGATCCTGAGTTTGCTTACAGAAATTATCAGAGAAAACAGAGCAAGATCAGAAGGACGGAGTCCAGGAAGACTTGCAATAGTTTTGCGAGATCCTTGCAAAAGATTTCGGGTAAAAAACAAAATGACTATGGAGTGGACACACCCGTCGGTGCTTGCTGCAGACGTGCTGCAACAACTTATTAAATCTGAAATATAAATAATTTATTCCAATTACACAGTGGTTTAATCATCAGGTAAATAGGCCTAAATCAGTCTGCACCGATCTATGAATGAATGTGATTCTTACAGTATCAGCTGCTTTATAGTATGAAAAGCTTCTCCTTCAGTTCATGAAATCCCTGCTGCATTTGAACGCAGCAGGACACTTATGGCCGGTTATGCACGGCAATTAACGGTGATGACTTTTATTAAATTGCCCCCACCCCCCACCTTGTCACTCCCTGGGCTCCGTACAAAAGACTGACTTGCGTTAATAAATCTAAAGTGCAAAGTAGGAAAACTGTTTGTTTTTCTTTTTTTATCACGTTCGAATGGGATAACTGCTAAATTGTGCACTAAACCTGAAAACGCTTCTCGTGCTGAATATCAGAGGTCACAGGTTTCTATCGACCATCAAGCTTTTTCTGATTCCCAAAAGGTGTTGAAGGGAGAAGTCAGGAAAAGCACCGACAGGACGTTTTAGTGGCGGACTACACCACTGGAGCTGAAACTTGCAAATTCAAAACTGTCGTGTAGTATTTTCATTTGTGAAATGGATGAAATATTACAATGTAGCAGCACTTTGTTTACTTTAGTCACAACTGTCTCTTATTGCTTTTGGAACAAGGTGGAAGAATTCTGGTTAAAATGAACGTGCTGTTTGTAGTGTTTGACTCTCATTGCTATGAAACATTGAATATTTAAACTGAACTTGATTATTTTTAATACAAAAGTGAAGTTGCCACATAATAAACATGCATGTCTTACAGTGTGCGAAAATGATTTGTCCCTTGCTCATCGGCCAACTTTTTGATTTGCACCTGTGTTCAAATAGTCTGGTAAACACTTTGAGTTAGTTTGTCAATTGTTGACTTATTTAACAGTTGCAACAAGCATTACAGTCATTTAGCCTGAATAAATGTTAGCATGAGAGCTTCTTGAGAAGCCCGTAATGCGACTTTCCCCCCATGCAGGACTCAAATGAGACACAGTTCATGATGAGGTTTTATCTAACACCAGAGGGCACCCTTCCATCCTTAACTATTTTATAGTCCAGAGTTCATTTCACATAACTGTTCAGTGACCAATTCTTGACCATTGGATACAGACTGCATTTGATGTAATCGGCTGTGAGATGTTAACAAAAACCTTTATGAACCAATGTGTCTCGATAGCTGTCTTGAGATGCCTTGAGATGCAGAGGATGCTGGTGTTCGTCATGAAAATGATCTAATGGGCAGCACAGAGTCCTGCTAGAGAATTATGCTATGAGGGTCATTGTGGTGTAACTGTTGGGCAGGGTGAAGTTTGTCTATTTTTTTTTTCTCTTCAGACTTTGGCAGAATGGAAGTTTGCCCTCAGCAGATCTTTTCCTTTCATCCCCCCCAGCTCTCCCCATGCAGAGATCTGTCTCACACACACACACACACACACACACACACACTCACACCCTCCGTCTGAGAGAGAGGATAGAGCTTGTTGCCAAGAAGTGTTCTGGCCATTTCCTAAATGAAGATTTCATCCAATGATTGATTATAATGTGTCCATCCACCCACACTGCCTCTCAAGATTATCGTGTTTAGTCGCAGTGCCAGGTTTATTAGGCCAAACCAGACAGTTTACCTTTCTGTTAAGTTAGAGACTGAAAAAAGGTTCAAGCTCAGTAAAATAAACTACATAAAGTCACCAGAGGTATAATAGTTGTTCAACTCTATGCCTCTGCAAAAATAACCTCTGTTGTACGGGTTCAACCATGACAGGTTTTCTTCTTCTTCCCAGTTCTGTGCCCCCTCTTAAACAAACACTGAGGGAATAGGGGTTCCTTTAAAGCACACTTAATATTACATTATTTGAGCGATGTGTGTTCTAGGTCGTACAATCCCTTAGTTATACAAGACATCTATGAGGGAAGATCTTTGTCTCTCAAGATGAGTTCCATTGTTATAATATTGTGCTCTTAATCACATGTCCTATAGCAGTTGTCACTGCTTTTAAGCCCCTTCAAACTCCTAAACATCATGTGATTCACTTTTAAGCAGTTCAACATCGACTCCCTCTGTCGTTCTTTCTTGTAATGTGACTTCAAGACACTGCAGGAGGGGCACAAGGTGAAATTGTTGATCAGTGCATCCAGCCAATTTGTACACAGCTGTGTCAACATCTAACATTCAGTGCTGACCATTTTAAAAACACCGGGATGGCTTCAGTTATTGTATCTGCTTCACCGATAGTGGCTGGTGTGTCTCCTGAAACCTTCACTCTTGTTAGGATGGCTACTGACGAGAGATAACATAGAAACAAACAGGCCAAGAGGGTCGGATGCAAACATTTTGGGGCCGTTTTTTATTTACATTTCTTTATTGAAGGGCTCATAGGGTAAACAAAGTGAAGAGGAATTAGAGAGAGAGGACAAGCATGATCAAATAAATGTGATACAAAACAAACCACTACAACACAAATAATGCATACTTAGTTGCATAGAATGCAATGGTGTATAGCTGAGCAGATGTGCAAATGTAAAGATGCATAAATAATTAATTTCATAATTAAAATGAAATGAATGCAAAAAAATCAACATCAAGACGTTTAATCCATGTCAGTAAAAAGCAGCGTTTGTCTTATATGAAAAATAATTTTCACCATACAATACCTCAATACATAAATGAGAAGTGTGAGTTGAAAGTGATGCACAGTGTCAGAGTAGTCGTGCTTGTAGACATTCCTGTAACTACAAAAAAGGGAAATGTGTCTTTATTATGTAATTAGGCAAGTGTACATATGTCACGTTTCAGTCAGCAGCAGGTTTGTTAGCACGAGGTTGATATGTTCCTCTTAGAACTAATGGACAAATTAAACACTTCAATGCACATTCAACTTCAGTTCATGCTGTGCTGTACGTGCGTATGTATGTGTTTTATTTCTCTTGTGCTGTCGTGGAACATGTCCCTCATTTCATAGTTAGCCTCATGGCTATCGCATGCCAGCAGGTGAGCATTTCAGGACAGAACCTTCAGTACATACATCTTTCTCCTGAACAAGCAACGCAGTCCACAACCCTGCTACAGTAAACTAGCAGGGTTGGTTCAAATTAATAGTGAGAATAAGAACCGCTTAATGCTAAAAATACTTATGAAGTCAGCTAACTGTCCTATGCCACACAGCATCTATCTGAAGTTTGCTAACATTATACCAGACCAAGTAGGACTATAGCTGTAAATACCCTCAGTGAATTGAATTGAGCGCGGTTATTGCTTAGGAGTTCCACTTTTCATACTTTTTCTTCCGTCAAAAGTTACATATATTCTCACTTATATATATATATACTTTTGGATATATATTTAGATTTATACTGTACATAGTCGTTAAATGTTTATGCTTACATCTGTTCTACTGTTTTTATTTTGTATATTTTTCCTGTTCATTTGTAAATTATGTGTATGTATGTGGAGAGCAATGAAAAACCGCAGTCAAATTCCTTGTATGCATACGCATACATGGCCAATAAAGCTGATTCTGATTCTGACTTAACTTATCATATTCTTTGGCCACTTGGGGGCAGCAGAAACAAGATGTGAACTCAACATCTATATCACAATATGAAGATGATATGGAGAAGGTTTAGAAGAGATTATTATCCACTGTTCTGTACTCTTGTACTTCATATAATGCCAATCATACTACAACCAAACCAACTCACGATTCGTCAACCAAATATGTAATTGTAAGAAACAGGTGACAATTAACTCTACATATGATTTTTAGATTTACTTGAGTAATGTGTAGTTGGATTTAAAATGCCGCTAATAGAAACAGGATGGAAATTCACTCCTCTGTTGCATCCATTCATTATCAAGTCTTCAGCTTCCACGCTCAGCTTATCTTGAAGCCACAGGAGAAGTATAACAATAGATAAAGTGTGCGTCCCCACTTGTGTGTGTGTGTGTGTGCTTGGGGTTACTGGGGAGGAGGGCTCTTCGTTAATGCTAAAATCAATCAGTAAATCAGCAAGCACAGCCTGCAGAAGGGCCACACTGCCAATGGTGATTCTCACTAGAAGCTTCAAGCAATACCGAGAGAGAAAAGGGGGGAGGGAACTGGATGGATGAGTCATCTTAGGGAAATTAAGGAAATTGCTCAGTAAAGGTGGCAGACTGGTGGTCATATCTCCCACAAGGACGGGGGCTGTATGTCCCCTTGTCACACCCTGTCACTGGATTGGTTGTGTTTTTAAAAAAAAAAGAGGACTTAAGGAAGTAATAGGGGGTTGAGTGTGATGTCTTCTGATGGCCCATAGCTGTTAGTTTGAGCCATTTACCTGGCTGGGGTCCAACTAGTTCCCCTCCTCATGAGGCCCAGGCTGAATTAAAACCGGCCTGCCAGAGCCGTGTGGAGTATTCAGTGTGTTTGCTTGGAGACTGCATGAGGCCGGCATACTTTAAACCTCTCAGGGGTCTGCTGAGGGCCTCTCCATTCTTCCTACAAACAGATGGAGCTGTGACTGAGGAATGTATATGCACAATACATACACATACACACAGACCTTTGTGAAAATGAAGGACAGAAAACCATCTACAATTAAATCTGATAAATACAAATTATTTGTCTGAGTGGATGAGCATTTAAGTAGTATTTATGAAATAATAAATTAGTACCACTGTAAATGTTTCACTGTGATGTACACTTGTCCAGCGGTTCAAGCCAGCCACAGTCTGTGAGGGTGGAGCTGTCCCATGCTGCCAGACGTTAATGGTTGTATGCTCTCCAGATGCATTGTTAATGAGTTCATGTAACACAGACGCATAGGACAGTTGGCATCCAATCCACTGGTTGAGGAAGAGATATGAGAATGACCTCTGCCAAAACTGGAAGGTATTTGAAGATCAATCCATCTCTCTTCTGGTTATATTCAGAATAAATACGGAATGCAATATACTGTATGCATACAGTACAGTACAGTACACACATGCAAGCAAGCAAGGAAGACAGTCTGTGCTGCTTTCCCAGCTTAGCAAAACAAACACAGCTTACAGTGGGGCTCAGATCATTTGAGCTGGAGTTGTTCACAAAAACCTTCTTGTGAAGTCAGTAAGTTGTAAATCTGTGCACTTTATGATTAATTCATATATATATATATATATATACAAACATTGTTGTTTGTGAGTCAAGTAAAGCTGAGCTGAGAAAATATAAAGCCATCTAAATATAAAGCAGATAATAATTATTAATATGGGCATTGTCACAAAATATGTGTCAGTTTGTGTTAAACTTTTTATACATTGTAAATTAACAACACAAAAGGTAAACATCCATCAACAATACTTTCACATAACTAACCCAAACCTGTGGTTGTGTGTGTTTGAGCGATTTGCATGTATCTGTGTGTGTAAGATGGGCAAAACACATCTGACATGCTGGCCACGTGAGATAACAATGATATCACGTTACTGCAAGATTTTGATAGAGTGCATCAATACTTCCACATACAACGAGTCAGAACGGGACAGAGGCAGAAAACAAAGTTTTTGAGGCTCCTGTCAACATTTCTTCAACCATCTGAGATTTAAAAAACACTGTGGGATTACAGTTATTAGTATCACCTGTTTCCTGCAATGACAAGTCAGAATATCAACTGTGAGGAAGGTCTAATTACATCAAACCTCAACCACACTATGCCCTGAACCTTACACTGATTCTGGAATATCGGTTTCATAGATTAACCATTTTATTGTGCTTATTATGTTATTTGGGGCAACATAGGCTGAGGCAGAGGAGGGGGGTTAATTGGCTTATTGTCTGTACACATTTACCCTCCATTCAATTGGATTCATGTTCCATTAGCAGCTGGGCCTTCAGAGAGTCTGGAAGTCGGCATCTCCAGATGGGGTCAGAGATTCAGTCCCCCCTGTGAGACCTGGGTGTCACGTTACACTCTTCCAATGCACACTTACAGGCACACACACACACACACACACACACACACACACACACACACGCCTATATAAGCAACAAAAAGGGGCATACATTCACTCTGATATATAGTAGGCAGAACATTTGAATGATTAATCTGCAATCTGCCCAATTTCCTGGTACGAGTTCAACAATGTACAAGTTTTTACATTATAGACATTCAGCCGATGATCATATCTTCCTATCTATCTTTGACAAAGCTGTGTAAAAAGGTCTGTGACAGCGTTGTATGTGGAAGTATGTTATGTTCCTTCAGAAGTACATGAACGTGCTTTAGAGTACATTCTCCAGGTGCCATTCTTATCTCTGTCGTCTGACATTCTCACCGCTGAGATCAGTCGGGAACGAGGCGCCTGGAATTCCATTCTGGAGTAAAACACAATATTCCTCTGTGTCTCCATGTCTATGTCTATGATGCTTTTGTCAGATACTCATCTATATGAATAATGTCCTCACCTCAACAAACTATTGTCAGTTCCTTTTTTTTTACCGTGAGAGACGTGTGAGGTTCAATCTGATCCAAAAGGAATTTCTGCATCTTTCTCAGGGAAGTGAAACTCCACCAACATGAACCACACAAACACCATCAGGAGAGACGCTTGCACGTGCTACTCTTTGTCTCGACTCATTTTTCAAGTTAAGCATTAATGAGGACCACCTGTTTGGTGAAGCCACAACACTGAAAACACGGAGACAGAGAACTATGTCAGCAATGTGGGCAGTTTATGGAAGTTCCAGGTGATGTTTGTGGTCGTGTAGGATTTGCATGATGGACATTGTTTAAAGTATACACCCTCATGTGTAAGTTGTGCTTTCTGCTATCCATAAAGCACGCCATGGAGATCCAGAGGGGTGTGTATATGTGTGTATGAGAGAGGGATGAGCTCCACAGGGGAGTGTTTATGAAGAGGAGATGTTCAGGGTGAATTCCTCAGATAAGTGACATGGCCTCTTTCTGTTCTGGATGAAGGAGAGCGCAGCACACCACAGGCTGTATATGGTAAACCTCAGAAACACATAACTGGAGCCCATTGGTTCTTAGTGTGCAGTGATAAAGTGGGTTGTAAAAGTGTTTCAGAGTGATGCAACGCCACTACTGCAAGACCAGCCTCCAAAAGACAAAACAGCTTAATATCAGCCAGTTAGCGATCTACCAGATGTGTCGTATGATACACGATTCTAGGAAAACTGTGGAAAAGGTGTCATTCATGAAACATGGCACCCACTAATACCAAGGTCAAAATCTCCCGCATCCACCCACACACTCTGGGAGTGGGTAAATCAGCTGCATGGGGCCCTATATATGGTGTCAGGCTCAGTTCAGATCACAGCATTCTTAAGATTCCTGCCTGTAATTATACCAGCAGGTCTGATTCGACTTTATATCTTGTATCGACAACCTGGGAGGACGGTGCAGATCATCGCAGATCGTCCTCAGACCCTTCTATGTTCATTAACACACTATAGAGAACAACCACCTCGTGAGGGGGAAAACAGAGGCCCCATCCATTTACTGCACTTTTAAAACCAAAACATTTTGAGCATAAATACTAGCTCTGCTGTGTGAAGCCTACGTTTGTTTGAGTGAGTACATGAGTTTGTGTGCCCACATGTGTGGGTATGTAAGCGTTTAGAGGTTGGATTTGCCCGTGTGTGAATGTTTATGCTTTGCATGTGTCAGCAGGCCAGTTTATACTCTATTGAACCACAGAGAGCCATAAACGCAGCAGTGTGCCTGAGAGAGTGGAGGAGGAGGAGGAGACAGGGAGAGGAAAGGGGTGACCTCAACAGGGGGCCGGTACAAATATGTGGTGTCTAATCCTCTCATTAGACAGCAGGGGGGGGGGGGGGGGCAGCAATCAGATTCAAGTGGAGGGTTGCACTGCCATGTTAGAAGACTGAGGCCTGTCAGAGTGCATGGGGAAAATGTTTGTGGCGGTAAGAATAGTATCTAGTCCACACACACAAACACACACACACGCACACACCACACTAGGTTTATTCAGCCAAAACATTCTCTGTAAATACAGAATTCAAAACACATGCTGACAAGCGAATCTGTGCTGCTGATGCAACAGTTACCTCACTTCCAGAGCCTCTCTATCTCCCCGACATCTCTTTCTCCTTCACTCTCCAGGTTGAAAAGTTGTGTATTATTTGCAAATGTCATGTTACAACAGTCTATAATCGGTCATATATTTTAAATTAATGTTTAACAAGGTGTTGTATTCAGCTACTTCTGGACAAGCCAGAAATGACAGAGTTTCAGTAATAGTTTGTTTTTATGTCTTAAAATGCAAAACTATCCTTTGAAGGATAATTCAGGTTTGTTATAATTTGGATCCTATA